TGGTGAATATACTCGTCAGACCGTGGTGAATATACTCGTCAGACCGTGATGAATATACTCGTCAGACCGTGATGAATATACTCGTCAGACCGTGATGAATATACTCGTCAGACCGTGATGAATATACTCGTCAGACCGTGATGAACATAGTCGTCAGACCGTGATGAACATAGTCGTCAGACCGTGATGAACATAGTCGTCAGACCGTGATGAACATAGTCGTCAGACCGTGATGAACATAGTCGTCAGACCGTGATGAACATAGTCGTCAGACCGTGATGAACATAGTCGTCAGACCGTGGTGAACATACTCGTCAGACCGTGGTGAACATACTCGTCAGACCGTGGTGAACATACTCGTCAGACCGTGATGAACATACTCGTCAGACCGTGATGAATATACTCGTCAGACCGTGATGAATATACTCGTCAGACCGTGATGAATATACTCGTCAGACCGTGATGAATATACTCGTCAGACCGTGATGAATATACTCGTCAGACCGTGGTGAACATACTCGTCAGACCGTGGTGAATAGACTCGTCAGACCGTGATGATTATACTCATCAGACCGTGATGATTATACTCATCAGACAGTATGGGGTTCACATACCTGGTTCTGTCCTAATGTGATGATTATCCCTCACTTATACAGACGATCCAGATCAATGTTTTAGTATAGTTAGAATAGAAGTCACTGATGGACATTGCAGATGAGGCATTAGTGCAGTACTGAGCAAAGTTATGGCAGGTGAGTATATGTAGGTGAGTATATGTAGGTGAGTATATGTAGGTGAGTATATGTAGGTGAGTACATGTGCTGCTACTGCGAGGTGATGACGTCACATGCAACCTACCTGAAACAAAGGAGTTGGTCAACAGAAAACGGAGTCAATAGGGTAAAACTTGCTTAGGTCGATCTTGGAGAGCTGTGGCTGATTTGGCCTCTGCCACACCCTTCCTGGGCCTCTCTCTCTGCCACACCCTTCCCTGGCCTCTCCCTCTTTGCCACACCCTTCCCTGGCCTCTCCCTCTTTGCCACACCCTTCCCTGGCCTCTCCCTCTTTGCCACACCCTTCCCTGGCCTCTCTCTCCCTGCCACACCCTTCCCAGGCCTCTCCCTGTGCCACACCCTTCCCTGGGCCTCTCTCTCTCTGCCACACCCTTCCCAGGCCTCTCCCTGTGCCACACCCTTCCCTGGTCCTCTCTCTCTCTGCCACACCCTTCCCTGGGCCTCTCTCTCTCTGCCACACCCTTCCCTGGGCCTCTCTCTCTCTGCCATACCCTTCCCTGGGCCCCTCTCTCTCTGCCACACCCTTCCCTGGGCCTCTCTCTCTCTGCCACACCCTTCCCTGGGCCTCTCTCTCTCTGCCACACCCTTCCTCTGGGCTCTCTCTCTCTGCCACACCCTTCCTGGGCCTCTCTCTCTCTGCCACACCCTTCCCTGGGCCTCTCTCTCTCTGCCACACCCTTCCCTGGGCCTCTCTCTCTCTGCCACCTTCCCTGGGCCTCTCTCTCTCTGCCACACCCTTCCCTGGGCCTCTCTCTCTCTGCCACACCCTTCCCTGGGCCTCTCTCTCTCTGCCACACCCTTCCCTGGGTCTCTCTCTCTCTGCCACACCATTCCCTGGCCACACCCTTCCCTGGGCCTCTCTCTCTCTGCCACACCGTTCCTGCCACACCCTGGGCCTCTCTCTCTCTGCCACACCCTTCCCTGGGCCTCTCTGCCACACCCTTCCCTGGGCCTCTCTCTCTCTGCCACACCCTTCCCTGGGCCTCTCTCTCTCTGCCACACCCTTATTAATACATGCTACCGTCCACCCCAAGTGGACGGTAGCATATATTAACAAGGCAATTAGCCTGCTTTAGCAACTGTCTTAAGATCAGTTATGAGCAATAACGTGTGAAATTGTCAAAAGTTACGAACCACAAAGAATTAAGACGAACAGCAGACAAGACTCGCACTTACGAGGACCTTAAATGGTGTTGTCTTAAGAGGGTCGTATCTCCTGGAGCCTTGTTAGCTGGAGTGTCTCCTGAAACTGCCAACTACGTCATCGTAACGACCGGCGACGTCTTGCCTGCCGCTGACGGCTTATCAAATTTACTTTCCTGTTTTGCTATTTTTATCACAGTCCCTAAAATATATTTTTCATTAGTTTTTATCAATAATGATATATTTTTTTTTATTTATTATTTTTATTATTATTATTTGCAACTTTTTTCGTTGATATAAGAATAATCTATATTTTGGTTCTCAATATGAATGAAAACGTAAATACGAGCTTCGTGAAGGAAGATACGAGCTTCGTGAAGGAAGATACGAGCTTCGTGAAGGAAGATACGAGCTTCGTGAAGGAAATGAAAAGCAATGTTGGCGGAAATGCAACTCTGTGGTGACTCGAGGCTCAAGACGCAATGGAATTATGAGTAATGTTGGCGGAAATGCAACTCTGTGGTGACTCGAGGCTCAAGACGCAATGGAATTATGAGTAGGAAAGAGATGTTCCAGAGAGGGAAGAGGTGTTCCAGAGAGGGAAGAGGTGTTCCAGAGAGGGAAGAGGTGTTCCAGAGAGGGAAGAGGTGTTCCAGAGAGGGAAGAGGTGTTCCAGAGAGGGAAGAGGTGTTCCAGAGAGGGTGCTCCAGAGAGGTGTTCCAGAGAGGGAAGAGGTGTTCCAGAGAGGGAAGAGGTGTTCCAGAGAGGGAAGAGGTGTTCCAGAGAGGGAAGAGGTGTTCCAGAGAGGGAAGAGGTGTTCCAGAGAGGGAAGAGGTGCTCCAGAGAGGGAACAGGTGTTCCAGAGAGGGAAGAGGTGCTCCAGAGAGGAAAGAGGTGTTCCAGAGAGGAAAGAGGTGTTCCAGAGAGGGAAGAGGTGTTCCAGAGAGGGAAGAGGTGTTCCAGAGAGGGAAGAGGTGTTCCAGAGAGGGAAGAGGTGTTCCAGAGAGGGAACAGGTGCACCAGAGAGGGAACAGGTGCACCTAAGTGGGAAGAGGTGCACCAGAGTGTGAACAAATGAATAAGAGGAGGGAGCAGGGAACAGGTGCCTCAGATTAGAAGCGCCGAATCATTTACAGAAGAACAATTCCGCTAGGCAGTTAGAGTTGAGTAATGCTTGGGTAATTGATGTTGTGAGGGTGAAAAGGAAGCAATTGTAGAATGAAAATGAATGTGTGTATAGAGGGAACACAGAGAACCGATCCCAACTTGTCCAGAGTTTGAAATAATGTTTAGTGATACATAAATGAAAATGCCATTTAATGCAAATAATATAATTCTTAGTGGAAGGAGAAGTGGCGCTTCGGCTAATGCTTGGTTTATTAAGTGCTTGTATAGAGGGGAAGGTATTGAGGTATTGAGCTGGTGCTTAAATAGACGAGAATAGCATGGAAGAAAACCACATCTATTCAAGAGGAGAAAACCTCTCTGCAAGGAATGTGTGTGCCGTTTATTAAAGGAAGTTTTGACGGTAATGGAAATGAAATCGATGAGAATACAGCAAAGTATTTGCAATGAGAGCAATCACCGTAACCCAAAATTTAAGGATTCACGAACTTAAATTTCATTTTGGAAGCTCCTAATCGTGTTTTGTTTCATTTTCCGGAGAACATATTTCCTGGTCTCGTGAGTTGACCTGTTCTCGTGTGTTGACCTGGTCTCGTGAGTTGACCTGTTCTCGTGTGTTGACCTGGTCTCGTGTGTTGACCTGTCCACGTGTGTTGACCTGTTCTCGTGTGTTGACCTGGTCTCGTGTGTTGACCTGTTCTCGTGTGTTGACCTGGTCTCGTGAGTTGACCTGGTCTCGTGTGTTGACCTGTTCTCGTGTGTTGACCTGGTCTCGTGAGTTGACCTGTCCACGTGTGTTGACGTGTGTTGACCTGTTCTCGTGTGTTGACCTGGTCTCGTGAGTTGACTGTTCTCGTGTGTTGACCTGGCCTCGTGTGTTGACCTGACCTCGTGTGTTGACCTGGCCTCGTGTGTTGACCTGACCTCGTGTGTTGACCTGGCCTCGTGTGTTGACCTGGCCTCGTGTGTTGACCTGGCCTCGTGTGTTGACCTGGCCTCGTGTGTTGACCTGGCCTCGTTTTCAGTTAAAATTTGAGACATAGACAGACAGACTTTAGACTTGCATAACGGGTTACGCAATTCTAAAGCCGAACACAAAACAGTGTGTTCGTACAGCCAAGTAAACAGAGTCGCTAACAGACATTATTATAAACAATGTTAATGCTAAACTCCCAACGTCATAACAGGATCTCGGAGCTTGAAACGTTTGCAACAAGGAGAAACGTTTCGGAGGGGAAGAAAACAATCAGGAGAAAGCGCCAAAGCCGTTACAACACTTGGAAGGGGTCAGGATAAGGATTTGGGATGGGACGGGGAGGTGAAGGAATGGTGCCCAACCACTTGATGGACGGGTGGAGATTGAACGTCGACCTGCATGAAGCCAGACCGTTGCTCTACCGTCAAGCCAAAATGTTTAGGCGTTTGGGAACTAAACATTTGATGATCGAGGAAGGAGTGAGTGTTCCATAACCGAGAGCTGGAGAACACTACACTACACATTTGTTCAAGAGCTGGAGCAGCTCTTGAGTTAAGGAACACATTGGAACACTCACACAAATGACACAAAATTTAACAATTTCGCCACATAACGTTAAAAAAAAAAAAAACTTCAAGAGGTCCAGAAAGTTGGATACGAGATGTATATCCACAAAGGTATACCACGCACCTCGGTATACATACACACGAAGTTTACTCTAGTCCCTCCGAAGGGTGTTAGTCTTAAGCCTAAAACCAAATAAATTAAGACGGAGAAAAATGTGGTGGTAAACATTGCTAAAAAAAAAAAATACTTTATTGTATCAAGCTTCAATATTGTGTGAGGGTGAGTGGCCACACTAGGAGGGCTGCTGCGTCTCGTTGTCTGCTGCGTCTTCGTTGTTTGTCTGCTGCGTCTCGTTGTTTGTCTGCTGCGTCTCGTTGTTTGTCTGTCTCGTCTCGTTATCTGCTGCGTCTCGTTGTTTGTCTGCTGCGTCTCGTTGTCTGCTGCGTCTCGTTGTTTGTCTGCTGCGTCTCGTTGTTTGTCTGCTGCGTCTCGTTGTTTGTCTGCTGCGTCTCGTTGTTTGTCTGCTGCGTCTCGTTGTTTGTCTGATGCGTCTCGTTGTTTGTCTGCTGCGTCTCGTTGTTTGTCTGCTGCGTCTCGTTGTTTGTCTGCTGCGTCTCGTTGTTTGTCTGCTGCGTCTCGTTGTTTGTCTGCCTCGTCTCGTTATCTGCTGCGTCTTGTTGTTTGGCTGCTGCGTCTTCGTTGTTTGGCTGCTGCGTCTCGTTGTTTGGCTGCTGCGTCTCGTTGTTTGGCTGCTGCGTCTCGTTGTTTGGCTGCTGCGTCTCGTTGTTTTTCAATTTATATTAAGAATGTAAACAGACTGAATATATATTAAATTAGATCCAATTGAACAAGGTTGAATATAATGTAATTGATTTGTTCCAGGTTTTCATTACCAATACTTTTGAACAGAAATGATTGGATATACAATTATTACTCACGAACAATGATCTCAGCAACGCAGTCAGGGTATTCTGAGGCCTCGATGTTACGATGTTTACATCAGGGAGGCTACGATGTTTACAGTAGGGGAGGCTACGATGTTTAGGTCAGGGGAGGCTACGATGTTTAGGTCAGGGAGGCTACGATGTTTAGGTCAGGGGAGGCTACGATGTTTAGGTCAGGGAGGCTACGATGTTTAGGTCAGGGAGGCTACGATGTTTAGGTCAGGGAGGCTACGATGTTTAGGTCAGGGGAGGCTACGATGTTTAGGTCAGGGGAGGCTACGATGTTTAGGTCAGGGGAGGCTACGATGTTTAGGTCAGGGGAGGCTACGATGTTTAGGTCAGGGGAGGCTACGATGTTTAGATCAGGGGAGGCTACGATGTTTAGGTCAGGGGAGGCTACGATGTTTAGGTCAGGGGAGGCTACGATGTTTAGGTCAGGGGAGGCTACGATGTTTAGGTCAGGGGAGGCTACGATGTTTACATCAGGGGTGGCTACGATGTTTACATCAGGGGGAGGCTACGATGTTTACATGTACGTACCTAACTTATCCAAGTAGGTCAGATTCATTCGTTTATGAATGTTATTTCAACACGGCGACTTTAGAAGTGGAAATTTGAAAAAGTATTTCGACCTTCTTGTCATGTTTTGAAAAGTCGGATTTATATTAACTATTATCTTACTGTTTTGTTTTATATGAGAAAGCATCAGCTGATCCGAAGTAAACAAACACATGATAATAAGTTGTTTTTTACAGTATTTATAGAATTAAAGTAGAGGAGGATGCTTGCTTGTGTTACTGCATGGTTGGTGAGGTCCTGCATGGATATACACACACAGTTATGACCCTAGTGTGCTCTTCTCTCTCCTGCGGATCTCTTCTTTCTTCTCCTTGAAATATTTACCGTTAACTATAAATCTCCACTCGACTTTCCCCCCATAAATCTCCTCTCATCTGGTCCTGAAATCTCTTCTACTTGTCCCTATAAACCTCCTCCTCCACTGGGTACTTTCTCGGGAAGTTTTCTGTCCTTATCTCTCTGAGAACCTCTCCTCTCTCAGAGAGAGAGAGATATAGAACCTCTCCTCCCTCAGAGAGAGAGAGATATAGAACCTCTCCTCCCTCAGAGAGAGATATAGAACCTCTCCTCCCTCAGAGAGAGATAGAACCTCTCCTCTCTCAGAGAGAGAGAGAGATATAGAACCTCTCCTCTCTCAGAGAGAGAGAGATATAGAACCTCTCCTCCCTCAGAGAGATATAGAACCTCTCCTCCCTCAGAGAGAGATATAGAACCTCTCCTCTCTCAGAGAGAGAGAGATATAGAACCTCTCCTCCCTCAGAGAGAGATATAGAACCTCTCCTCCCTCAGAGAGAGAGATATAGAACCTCTCCTCCCTCAGAGAGAGAGATATAGAACCTCTCCTCCCTCAGAGAGAGAGATATAGAACCTCTCCTCCCTCAGAGAGAGAGATATAGAACCTCTCCTCCCTCAGAGAGAGAGATATAGAACCTCTCCTCCCTCAGAGAGAGAGATATAGAACCTCTCCTCCCTCAGAGAGAGAGATATAGAACCTCTCCTCCCTCAGAGAGAGAGAGATATAGAACCTCTCCTCTCTCAGAGAGAGAGAGATATAGAACCTCTCCTCCCTCAGAGAGATATAGAACCTCTCCTCCCTCAGAGAGAGATATAGAACCTCTCCTTTCTCAGAGAGAGAGAGATATAGAACCTCTCCTCCCTCAGAGAGATATAGAACCTCTCCTCCCTCAGAGAGAGAGATATAGAACCTCTCCTCCCTCAGAGAGAGAGATATAGAACCTCTCCTCCCTCAGAGAGAGATATATAGAACCTCTCCTCCCTCAGAGAGAGAGATATAGAACCTCTCCTCCCTCAGAGAGAGAGATATAGAACCTCTCCTCCCTCAGAGAGAGATATAGAACCTCTCCTCCCTCAGAGAGAGAGATATAGAACCTCTCCTCCCTCAGAGAGAGAGATATAGAACCTCTCCTCCCTCAGAGAGAGAGATATAGAACCTCTCCTCCCTCAGAGAGAGAGATATAGAACATCTCCTCCCTCAGAGAGAGAGAGAGATAGAACCTTTCCTCCCTCAGAGAGAGAGATAGAACCTCTCCTCCCTCAGAGAGAGAGAGAGATATATAGAACCTCTCCTCCCTCAGAGAGAGAGAGAGAGAGATAGAACCTCTCCTCCCTCAGAGAGAGAGAACCTCTCCTACCTCAGAGAGAGAGAGAGAGATAGAACCTCTCCTCCCTCAGAGAGAGAGAGAGAAAGAACCTCTCCTCCCTCAGAGAGAGAGAGAGATAGAACCTCTCCTCCCTCAGAGAGAGAGAGAGAGATAGAACCTCTCCTCCCTCAGAGAGAGAGAGAGAGAGAGAGAGAGAGAGAGAGAGAGAGAGAGAGAGAGAGAGAGAGAGAGAGAGAGAGAGAGAATCTCTCCTCCCTCAGAGAGAGAGAGAATCTCTCCTCCCTCAGAGAGAGAGAGAGAACCTCTCCTCCCTCAGAGAGAGAGAGAACCTCTCCTCCCTCAGAGAGAGAGAGAACCTCTCCTCCCTCAGAGAGAGAGAGAACCTCTCCTCCCTCAGAGAGAGAGAGAACCTCTCCTCCCTCAGAGAGAGAGAGAACCTCTCCTCCCTCAGAGAGAGAGAGAACCTCTCCTCCCTCAGAGAGAGAGAGAACCTCTCCTCCCTCAGAGAGAGAGAGAACCTCTCCTCCCTCAGAGAGAGAGAGAACCTCTCCTCCCTCAGAGAGAGAGAGAACCTCTCCTCCCTCAGAGAGAGAGAGAACCTCTCCTCCCTCAGAGAGAGAGAGAACCTCTCCTCCCTCAGAGAGAGAGAGAGAACCTCTCCTCCCTCAGAGAGAGAGAGAACCTCTCCTCCCTCAGAGAGAGAGAGAGAACCTCTCCTCCCTCAGAGAGAGAGAGAACCTCTCCTCCCTCAGAGAGAGAGAGAGATAGAACCTCTCTCCCTCTCCTCCATGCTTGTTACCAGGAGAGAACAATGACAGCGTCACTCTCATGTTGACCTGGTCTGAGCGTCCGGATAAAATGTTAGTGACCCACCTTCTTCATGGTGGTGGTTCTTTAATTCACAGTTAAGCTGGCATATTTGCAGTGGTCTTGCTGTGGTGGCGATGGTGGTTCTGTGGGGGTGGTTATCGTCGTGGTGGTTCTGTGGGGGTGGTTATCGTCGTGGTGGTTCTGTGGGGGTGGTTATCGTCGTGGTGGTTCTGTGGGGGTGGTTATCGTCGTGGTGGTTCTGTGGGGGTGGTTATCGTCGTGGTGGTTCTGTAGGGGTGGTTATCTTGGAGATGACTGTGTTAGTGGTTATCGTCGTGTTGGCTCAGTGGTGATTATCATCATCATGGCGATTCAGCGATTGTCGGTATCTTCAAAGGATACCACGGTATCCTCGAAGGACATAACTGTGTCCTCAAAGGATATGTGCGTGTCCTAGAAGGATACATCTGTGTCCTCCCAGGCCATGTCAATGTCTTCACTGGATATCTTGGAGTAAAGCTTTTCATAATTGACTTGCTGTATTTCTGATAGTGTCTCATCTATCACGTCTCTTCTGTAATATTTCTTTTGTAATATATCTAAGGCAACTTCTCTACTCTTCCTCCACGTAGGATGAGAAAGATGATCTTTGTACATAACAGCAAGAATAAATTTCTTTTGAAAAAGTTACTCAAGAAATTACCCACAATGCTTGCGAGAGAGAGTCGCGCTGGCCAATTCCCTAAACAATTTCTTAAGAAAACTTGACAAGAACTTTAAGTTTGGGGAAAGTGAGCTGATTACTGTGCCGGGCTGGTGTCTGCCAGCCACAAACTTAGCCTCGAATATACATACACTCAGTGATTATAAGGGATCACATGAGTCTAAACTTAGCCTCAGAATGTGATGGTTTGGTGTTATTTCTACTGTTAACCAGTGTACTAGTAGTTAATATTTTCTAGGTTAGTATCTTATGATCCAATTAGATCCTTGTTGGGTCTAATTGGTTAATTTTGCTGTGTCTCTTCGGAGTTCCAGGAGGATGGGAGACAACGATTGTTGAGACAGGAATGTTCTATAAGTTAGGTTCTTAAGCATTCTGGGATCGCTGAAGCTGGTTTTAAAGTTAGGAGAGTCAATTAGGGTTCATTAGGTGAGGAGACCAGCCAATGAGAGGACCCCACAGTGAAAGTGAACGTCAGGGTCTGTTGGAAAGTGAGAGTGAGATGAGCCTTAAAGTAGCAGCCAGTAGAACAATGGTTCATGTCTCACGTAATGTCACACCTCTGGCCTTTGGGCCACCTTAGGGCCGCCCCACCTCTGGCCCGGCCCACCTCTGGCCCGCCCCACCTCTGGCCCGCCCCACCTCTGGCCCGCCCCACCTCTGGCCCGGCCCACCTCTGGCCCGGCCCACCTCTGGCCCGGCCCACCTCTGGCCCGCCGCACTTCTGGCCCGCCGCACCTCTGGGCTCCTATATGCAGCAAGGATCATGCCCCACACCTGTTAAGACACAATGACCACAGGAAAGCAAATGGGTTTAACCTGGCCAAGACACTATCTACTTCGCGTTAATGATATTTTATATGATTTTATAGAATCTATAGATAGTCTATATAAGATTCTATATAAAACCCTCACCATGAATAAGCCTCAACAACTACAGTCAAAGGGTGTTGGATCGAATTAGAACCCGCAGCATTAGTCGTGAGAGAATCTTCTTAGGGCTGTAAGATGAATTTGCTTTTCATCAAAGATACGATAACAGTATATTGATGAAGTCGATCGTGATTGTGGCATCGCATGCTAGTTAATAATGATTCATCATACCAGGTCTCCTTTATTCATCGGAGAGCTGGACTCGCAATTCATCGAACTAGGGGCTCGTTATTTATTATACTAGGTCGTTAGCCATCGGACTAGGCCTTTGTCTTAATTGTAAATTTGTCTTAACTTTGTAAATGACTTATATGGGCGGGTCAAAGTTCTCGTTCTCTCGGACGATTTTGGGAATGAATGAATACGAAAAATAATGAATAGATAAGAGACACACAATCCGGGTAAAAGAAACCTAATAGATAATTGACACACAATAGATAAGGGACACTCACACAATAGATAAGGGACACTCACACAATAGATAAGGGACACTCACACAATAGATAAGGGACACTCACACAATAGATAACGGACACTCACACAATAGATAAGGGACACTCACCCAATAGATAAGGGACACTCACACAATAGATAATTGACACAGAATAGGTAATGGGCACACAGAATAGGTAATGGGCACACACAATAGGTAATGGGCACACACAATAGGTAAGAGGGAGGGAATTATCAAAGAAAAGCGCCAGAACCATTACGACTATATAGGTAAGAGACACAAACAGCGAAGCCTTTAGGTCGTGGCCCATCGAGTGAGACAGTTGGTGAGAGAATAAGTGACACTGAACACCACGTAAAAATACTCGACCTGCGGATAGGCCCATTGTTGTGCATTGTTTCCCCCGAGTGTAAAGTTGACTGTCACTCGAGGTGTTGTGGTCATCCAGAGGTCAGAGGTCACCGGCCAGACGACCGTCTGAGACAGGAAGAGCCGAATACAGGCAGACAGAGACAGAGACAAACAGCAGCAAACAGAGAACTGTTGATGTTGTAAGTTGGGGGGGGGGCGCACAATCACTTTGTGATTGTGATTAGTGGAAATGATTTGATCATGGAGGGGAAGGGAATTTCAGGGGAAAGCGCCAAGCTTTTACGACTATACAGCACTGGGAAGGGGGGTCAGGATAAGGATTGGGATGGGACGAGGGGAAAGGAATGGTGCCCAATCATTTATGGACGGTCAGGGATTGAACGTCAACCTGCATGAAGCGAGACCGTCGCTCTACCGTCCACCTCAAGTGGTTGGGGGACTTAATCATGGAGAATGTTGAAGTATTTAACATGTTTACTCAATGTTTGATCTAGTCTAGAAGTCAGAGATAATTTAGATTTAGTGTTCATAAGGGTAGATTTAACTAGGTTTGTAAACTGGAAATTGTATACAAGGAGAGAGAGAGATAGAGTAGGAGGTTAAGTAACCATTAATCGCTGGCTGAGTGGTTATAGTACTGAGCTACCAGTACTATACGCCAAGGTTCGAATCCTTGAGGGTTTAGAGTTTCATGTGCCAGGTGTATAGATACCAGGCTCATCAGTGCCACGTGTACGGATTAGTGCCACGTATGTCTCTCTAATGCCCTTATGGCTCTGAAATATTACTTAGTTAATGTGCTTTACATCTCCATGCTGCATATTATTGATTTTCACTTGTGTTGCGTGTGTGTGTCTGTGTGTTACGTGTGTTACGTGTGTTGCGTGTGTGTGTTGCGTGTCTGTGTGTGTGTTGCGTGTCTGTGTGTGTGTTGCGTGTCTGTGTGTGTGTTGCGTGTCTGTGTGTGTGTTGCGTGTCTGTGTGTGTGTTGCGTGTCTGTGTGTGTTGCGTGTCTGTGTGTGTGTTGCGTGTCTGTGTGTGTGTGTTCACTATCTCTGTGTTCACTATCTGTGTTCACTATCTCTGTGTTCAATATCTCTGTGTTCAATATCTCTGTGTTCACTATCTCTGTGTTCACTATCTCTGTGTTCAATATCTCTGTGTTCAATATCTCTGTGTTCAATATCTCTGTGTTCAATATCTCTGTGTTCAATATCAGTGTGTTTCATATCCGTGTTCCACGTTCTTGTGTTCCACATTCTACGTTCCTGTGTTCCACATTCCACGTTCCTGTGTTCCACGTTCCTGTGTTCCACGTTCCTGTGTTCCACGTTCCTGTGTTCCTTGGATTCGTAGAGTCTCTGAATCAACGAAGCAAAAGCTTTGTGTAAAAGGTTCACAAGACAGCTTAGTCAACAGAGGCAAAACGCCTCTATATATTATTCATTCCCCAAACTGAGTCCGTATTAAACATTTATGCAATTCGCTCGTCACACTCAAGTGATTTACATTATATATATTTTTTACCTTTCATGTTCGAGCTGCATAAATCTCTCTCTCTCTCTCTCTCTCTCTCTCTCTCTCTCTCTCTCTCTCTCTCTCTCTCTCTCTCTCTCTCTCTCTCTCTCTCTCTCTCTCTCTCTCTCTCTCTCTCTCTCTCTCTCTCCTCTCTCTCTCTCTCTCTCTCTCTCTCTCTCTCTCTCTCTCTCTCTCTCTCTCTCTCTCTCTCTCTCTCTCTCTCTCTCTCTCTCTCTCTCTCTCTCTCTCTCCTGTAACGCCAGCACTGTAAAACTAACAATTATACATCGCTCATGTCAAGTGCATAGTCAGGAAATATAATGAGAGATATATTTAATGCCTTGCTGTCGTCATGGGCGGCCTGTTATTATCGTTGGGAGATCATTCACTCGCCTGGAATTCAAGTATTTTCGCTCATAATAGCGTAATTATTTAATCTTGTTGGGTCGTTCATCTGTTCACTGCTGTGCTCTACATGTTGGTGTTTATATGGTCGACTTTGACTCGTTGTAGACATAATCAGTGCTGTGTGTTCCGTTGTAGACATAATCAGTGCTGTGTGTCCCATTGTAGACATAACCAATGCTGTGTGTCCCATTGTAGACATAACCAATGCTGTGTGTCCCATTGTAGACATAACCAATGCTGTGTGTCCCATTGTAGACATAACCAATGCTGTGTGTCCCATTGTAGACATAACCAATGCTATGTGTCCCATTGTAGACATAACCAATGCTGTGTGTCCCATTGTAGACATAACCAATGCTATGTTCCATTGTAGACATAACCAATGCTGTGTGTTCCGTTGTAGACATAACCAATGCTATGTGTCCCATTGTAGACATAACCAATGCTGTGTGTCCCATTGTAGACATAACCAATGCTGTGTGTCCCATTGTAGACATAACCAATGTTTTATGTCCCGCTGTAGACATTATGGGAAACATTTATTACCATAACTTCTAATTACAAAATATTAAAATAAACCTTTAGTAGAGAAACGCTCTGTTCAGGTATAATTAACAAATTAATACGTAATTTATAAATGTGTAATTATGTATAACGACGCCATCCAATGCGACGCCGGCCTGGCCTCTGACGTCACACACGACGACATATAATTACCCGCCAGACACACGACGTAATTACGACGTGTCTACAACATTCGAACCAATTTTCAAACCATCTAGCAAGTTGTAACAACCAATATGGCAAGTTGAAACGACGTTCTAATACGTCATAAAAAGTTATAACAAGATGTAACAACTTTATTATAGCCGTTGTGGGGTTCAGGTTGTTTCGTCCGGCCCTCTCCAGTTGTGGACATGGCGTGGAGTGCAGACCCTGGGTGTGGTTGGTTGCTTGGTTGCTGATGGGATCTGTGTGATGGGGGGGGGGGGGGGGTACCATTTCCCCCCGTTTTGCGGGCTCATTCGGTGGGCCTGGAATTTACTGGCCGGGTAGATTGCCCTGCAGTGGAACTGGTGATGTGTGAAATGCTGCGTGTGGCCGTGGCTGCCATCTATGAAGTGGAGCTCGTCTCGTCTCACCGGGCTGTAGTGAAGTTTGCTGATGCAGAGGATTCCAAGCTGTTTTTATGCCGGTATGAAGGGCGGTCATTTCAACTGCAGGTGGCTGCTGGTTCGGTGGTTGTCT